CTTTGGTCAACCTATTGGCTATATTTGCAGCTGTCTGGCTTGAAGTAATCTTCAGTGCATCTTTCCTGCTCATTTGAATGTGAGCGTCACTATAAAACTAATCGATCTCATTCCCTAGACATCAATTTTGCAAAAATGTAAAGGAATCGATTCAAAATCGATTAAATCGATTTTTTTACCCAGCCCTTGTCACTACTTTCTGTTTGCTCATTTTACACCAACGGTAAGTAGCCGATTGCAGAGCCTGAATAATAACCAGCCATCATAGCATTTTAGAGACCCAGTGGAACATTACACAACATTCTACACCGAGACCAGCAATGCTAGAACCTAGAACCAATACACGACAAGCCTATTAATAAACAAATGTTAACAACAATAAGTTGCAAGTAAAAAGAAGCCTTTTTTTGGTTTGAATAAAAGCAACACAGTGTTTGATTTGAATTTGTGTGATAATAACATGACACTGCAGTATTTCTACAAATTATATTAACTGCAAATCTGCATTAAATACAATAATAGATTTGACAAATACAACTACAGGCTTAAGACTGAAACCAGGAAGAAAAAACATTTGTTTCATCACTTTTGTCACCCAACAGGTGACAAAAGCAAAGATTGTTGAATAAAATAAACAACTCTAAAAGGCTTTCAAAAGCTCTGACATGTGAAACAAGGCGCATGCGCACCTGTCACATAGCTCTCATCCATATGTTTACGTAGCATTAGCATGCTAAGTATATTCCATAAACTTAAGAGACTTATAATAACAAAAGCAGCGTATATTAGAGCCACATATCCACCAAACAAACTATACACTTCAATCTCTTCAAGCGTTAAATCACCAACAATGTATTCACACTCTTCACGGGTCTATTCCTATAAACCACCGCTGCTAACCTTCTGCTAGCGATGCTAACTAGCCTGCTAGCAGCAGCACTTAATAAAATGGTTCCATCATGTCTTTGTACCTTTGGCTTTTTTTAAACAATTATAATTTAATCGACTCTTGCACAGTCCCGTTCTGTCCTTCTTCACCCAGAATGAATTTATATATAAAGGCTACCAGCCCTGATCTCCCTACCTCTTCTAACTCGTCTTTGGCATCCAGCTGGGTGGACACCAGGAGCCGGCCCTGTGGCTTCGCCTTTGCCGGTGCAGGCTCCATCTGCTCCCGCCGCGCCTCGCCGGGGCCCAGCGGAGCTCTGCTGAGCTGTGCTAGCACTACCGTTTCAGTGATGTTGTGCGTGTCTATATCGATGTAATGGAGAATCACAGGGGCTGTGGCCCGGGTCAGAGCCTCGCTGTGAATCACTTCGGCCAGTTGATATGTGTTTTTAAAACTTATTTGGAGGCAGCTTGGGAAACCATTCTGACTCCGTAACACCGTCCGACCACAGTAACATAACGGACATCCGCACAGACAGAGCTGGCGTATGGGGCGTGAACATCGCAGCCCAGAAGCCAATCAGGTTACGTGATGGTATGAGTGACATCAAGAGCATCCAATAGCAGGTGAGGATATCAGGGGCCAATCCCTGCTATTCCATCCAACCATCCACCTGCATGGAAACCACTTCACCTTTTTACAAAGAACCTATTAAAAAAAGAAAAGAAAAAAAAGCACACTTGTAAGGAATAAATTCTATATTTTAAGAAAACTACCTTACAATAGAACAGCTTCCACTTATATTGAACAAAAAATCAATAATTAGCTCAGTTATTTAAGTTGAGAGACAAAACCCATTCTTGTTTTAACGGTATTAGGTAGAATGGTTGTTTTGTTTTTGTAACAATGTTTCAGATTAATGTAAATAAGTCACTTAAATCTTTTTTTATGTAATTGTGTCCTTTGGATGTGAATGGAAAATAGCAAACATATTGCATATATTCCAATTTTTTCTTGTCACCAAACACAGCAAGAAGGTTGGAGGTGATTAAAAAACTCACACTGCCCACTTTAAGGTGGATGTTCTATGATTCTGTATATCTGTTTTCTTTTAGAATACCATTGGAGCCCTTTAACAGTACATTACACTACAACCTATTTGATTAACAAAAGTAAAAATGTAAATAAAAATCACATAGCCTCTGCCAGTATAAAGACTCAGTTTGCAAATTAACATAAAAATAGTTCAGAGACACACAATTAACCCTCTCTAATGGTCATCTAACCTTAATCCTGTTGAAAACCTGTTGACTGAACTATGGAACACAAAAAAGTATCCATGATCAATGACGCTTGAGGTTTTAGGGAGATCATTCAAAACATAATGCTCAAAGATCCCTCTTTTTAAACTCCTGCCTTGTTAGATGTTATATGATATGACTAAAATTATTTTTTGTTATTTTAATTTAATAAAAATAAGTTATTAATCCCAAAGGGAAATTAAATGTTGCAGTAATCTCTGGGCAGTTTTTTTTACGAGTTGTTATAGGTGTTGAAAGCTGTAGGCAGGAAGGATCTTCTGTATGGCTGTCTTGCAATTTAGGGCTCAAATGACAAAAATATGACAATAACTTTAAAAGAGAAGTAGTTTTGGGGGGGTTTTATCAGTTTTTCCTGACAAAAAAAATATTTCCCTACTCAGAAAAGTACATTTGCATTTGTACAACGTTATCATTGTTATATTTTACACATCTTTACAAGTGGTGCTAATGAACAAGGTTGGATCTTTATGGCTGGAAGTAAAGGCTTTTACTTGTGTAACCTTCTAAACCTCAATATAAAACTATTTATACACTTCAAATTAATTCTGAAAATTAATTTCATTTGTGCACTGGTTAGCCATACTGATGTTAGCCGTCTGAAACAGAGGCTGCTAAATGATCTCTATACATGCTTCGATGCCATCATCGACAACTTTGATGTTTACAAGGTGGGAAAAAATATTTAGAGTTAAACTTCGCTTTTTTGGACTTCAGTCTGGTTGGATGTTGTTAAAAGATCCGCCTATTTAAAGTTGAATCCATTTTGAATGACATAGATAGAAACTTCCATTTACACACTTCGTCCATTTACAGACTTTTACACCGAATGTACATTTACATATAAATTACCTTCTAAACAGATTTAGCCAGAAAACATTGCACATTTAGTCCCTTCATAATAAAGAATTTGATGCATTTAACTTGACCAACACATATTGGAACATATTTATGAAGTTTAAAGAAAAGGTTTTTAAAATCCTTAAAATAAAAAAAGGGTGAATGTTTGATATTAATAAATATTCGCATCCTCCTATTAGTATGATACCCTACATAAAATCTTGTGCAATAAATGGTGTGCAAAACACTGAACAAACTGCTAAAAAGAGGCTAAATCCTGGTAATTAAAGCTATCTGTTCTGGGAAGGTGTCAGAGGTGTCTTGGAGAGTATTAGTAAACAAACGGTATCATGACGGACAAGAAACATAAAATATCATAAGCCTTACATATCTCATGTAAATCTGCTTATGACTAACCTACCGCTAGTCAGCAAAACTCACAGGCTGGACAAGGAGACTATTAACCAGACAAGGTTCAGGTCTGGTGGGAAAATCTATTGAGTCGACAGTTGCAGAGGTGTCAAAAGTATTCATGTTTATTAGTGAAGTAGAAGTAAAAATCTTACTGTTTAAAAACATTTTTGTAGAGGTTAGAGTATCAGCTTAAGCTTTTTACTCCAGTAAAAATGGAACCTCACTTAAAAGTGCTTAAAGTATAAAGGTAAAAGTAATTCAGGAAAAAATGTAAAGGAAAGATGCTTTAAAGCTCACACTGGTTACTGCACTAATTTTTCCACAATTCTGGATGATAACTTACTAAAGTTTCTTAGTTTCATAAATAACGGTAACAATGTCAATTTCAACATTGCATTATCTTGAAAAAATATATCATTTGGTGCGTGGTGAACAACAAGTTGGTGCAGCACCGAGTCTAACCACAAAGAAACTAATTGTCTGGATAAAACAAATTATTTAGATTTTTTAAATACCAACAGGCCATAAAGAAGATGAGCTTAAATGAAACAAAAATAATGAGTCTTATTTTAAAATGTAAGGAGTAGAAAGTAGAAGTAATTGCTAAAAAATGTAAGGAGTAAAAGTAAAAAGTTGTCTGAAAATAATTACTCCAATAAAGTATAGATAGCCAAAATTTCTACTTAAGTGAGATAACAACGTGTTTTTACTTTGTTCCTTGACACCTCTAGACAGGTTGACTTGTTCCGTCCACAAACCTGGTATTAATGAAGTGCTGTGAAAGAAAAATTTGTTAAAAAAAGGTAAAAGAAGTCCCCATTTACCATTAGCACAAGACAAGTAAGGGATACAGCAACAAGTGAATGATCATCTGTTCAGATCCTCCTAAACAGACCACTCCAAGAGTAAAACATGATGGTGGCAGAATTATGCTGTAGGGCAGCAGTGAAAGGAAACTAGTCCAAGGTTAAGGGGAAACTGGACTGAGCTAAATACAGGACAAGCGTGAAAGAAAACCTGTTAAAGGCTAAAACACAAAAGAGTTAGAAAGAGGTTCACCTTCCAGCAGGACAACCATAAAAAAACCCCACAAAATACCAGGAGCTACAGCGGTTTGGTTTAGATTAGAGCACATTCATGTGTTAGAGCCTCCCAGTCAAAGTCCTGACTTCAATCCATCTACCGGAAAGTGCCTTTGTAAACACTTAAGCATTGACGTTCGTAGACAATCTCCATCCAGCCTTATTGAGCTAGAGCTACTGGGCAGCAACAGAGACATAACCCAGAAGAATGTATTTACTGAGGAGAGGAGAAGAGCACGACACTTATAGTTTTATAACTGTGAAAAGTTTCGCTTTCTCATCCACTTATATGCACTTTATGTTGGTTTGTAACATACTTACCAATTAAAAAACGAAAAACATCAGAATCTCTTTTAAAAGTTTGAAACAATCCAGTGACCCTTGAGAAAAAACCCCAGCTATACATCATGGTAAAAATGCAAACTCCACACAGAGAAACACCAAGAGACATTTGAACAAAAGTAACAATACCCATTTTATTTTGTATTTACATAACTTACTTTTGGATGTTTTATCTTACAGTAAAACATTTGTCTTGTTTGTATCTGTTCATTTCAACAGTTTATGTCTGGTGAAACCAGGTTGGATGAGTCAGTTGCTAATTTGTCTTCTGGACTGTTGTCAGAAACATCCATCCGACTGGAGAAACGGGACACAATTGACTCCCAGCCATCAGATCTAGGTCATTTCTTCTCATTTTCTCCCAGCAGCCAGTATGTCCTCATGCGTCCTTTGCCCTTTACTTCGATTTCCCCTCTGAGTTGTAGCTGGAAGCAGCTGAACTCCAGCAGGACCTGACGAGTCGCCTCCGACACGTGAATCTTTAAGGCTGAGAGGACACACATATCTGACATTAAAAGGTGCTCCAGTGTAAATATATGAATTCTTTTTCTAATAAATCCATTTCAACTCCTTACAGCCTCACCCCCTGAATTGCAAAAAGATGGACAGAGGCAGTAATATATTGAAAAAATGCAGATTTCTTAGATACTGACTCTGATCAGTAAAAACCCCTGACAACAGATACTTATTTGGGATGGAGCAAATAATTATCACTGATATCAAACAAGATAATTAATGAAAGAAGTGATAACTTGATGGACAGCAGATGAACTGATTAACAGATGAACAGCTGTAAGGGACCAGGAAACTGGGGGTTAAGCTACTTTTTATGAGTATCCGAATGTCTCGTGGATGACAAAGTAGTGGTCTCAAAACTTCTCACAATGCACCTGGAAAAGTAGTTTGCATCCATGGTCACTAGACGAGCAGCTATATCCCAGAATGCTTTGCAAAAGCCCTCCTTGCAAAGCATAATAGGATAATCTTTTGGAAAGAACAAAGATGGCGCAGACACTGAAGAGAAATGTGACTAAGTTTAGCTGCCATAACGAATGGCTAAATATTTATATATATATATATATATATATATATATATATATATATATATATATATATACAAGGGCGTAGGAATATGTTTACAATTGGGGGGGACACATGTCGGAAATCTGAGATTCGTAAATATTCAACAGAAACATATCTTAAGTACGCTACTTAAAAAAAAGGCTATTTAATCTTTTACTTTATTCCTTTATAAATGTGTTTGCAAAAATAATGCATTTAAAATGTACATAATGCATTTGTTCATAAGATGTGAGCATATCACCAAACAAAATGACTGGAGTCTTTTATTCAGCAAAGGGAGATGTCTTTCAAAGGCTTCAGCCCTTGGCATATTTAGTGTCCGCATACGCACTAGAAAATCAAAACAATTCAGTAGGCCACACAAGTGCAAAGTTTGATATGTTTTATTTTGTCAAACTTGCAATAATGGTCAAAAATGAATTTATATAGGTTGACTGACAGAGGGAGCTGACAGTGTGTTGAAGAATTATGGACAGGGCGCTTTGAAGCATCTGGTTCAAAAACGCATTATCAACCTTTGGTAGAAATCCATCCATCCTTCCATTTTCTGTACACCCTGTCCCTTAGTGGGGTCGGGAGGTGCTGGTGCGGGGTCCACCCTAGACAGGTGGCCAGTCTGTCCAGACCTTTGGTAGAAATGGCGCCTTTAATTCCAATTTGCAGTACAGAACAGAGAAAACTACAGAGTTGTCAATGTTGTGTTAATCTGTTTATAGTCTAAAAAGAGGAGCCAGCAGTTTGAGGAAATAAAGGTGCAGAAGTTAATTAGTTGGTTAATTAGTGGTTGCACAACCAATGCGATCGCCGCTGCTAAGAATTAAAATTAATTCTCCCTGTGGTTAACTAACGATCAGGAGCGCGGCAGGTATAACATCTGTCCATTTCGGCGAATTAAAACCATGCAAAAAATAAAAAATCCTCGTAAAACGCACGCCCAGACCGGGCTAATTTCAACACAAGTTGTGTTAGGTGACTGTTACTCACACTGACGTTTCTCTTTAAAAAAAAATCTGAGTAAGTCCTACTGCTGTTTCAGCCTTTTAGTTGGTGGTGGCATTGTACTGAAATGAGATATAAAAAAAAATATATAAAAAAAACATTTTGGCTAGCGTGGCAAACGTCTAGAGAAAGTTAGCAGTTAAATATTGGATGAGTGATCAGCCCAAGACTACGGAAGAGGATTAGGGCCACTGGAAAAAAAAAAGTTAAGTGATTTTTACATTTTATTTCAGTTTAATACGGGAAAAAAGTCTTTTATTTTCAGAATTAAGACTTTTTTTCTCAGAATTCTGACTTTTATTTTCAGAATTAAGACTTTTTTTCTCAGAATTGTGGATCTTAATGTAGATGGGCACCATGAAGGAAGAGGTGGGAGCACTCAGCTTCACTGACAAAGATGTGAGTTGTTTGAGAGAGCCAGTGACACATTGGTGGAAAATGACAGAATTAGTTAACTTTTTACGTGCCCGAGGGGTCCCCTCATTAATGGAGGAGCAGAAGGTCATTAAAACAAGAGAGCTAGTCTCTAAAAGAGACATGGCTATGGCTTGATGCTAACATGTTTGTTGTTAAACATACTTTTGTTATATTACATTTGTGTTGTGTTTTCCAAATAGTGTAGAAAATTAATGGTGGGTTTATAATGTTTACCTTTTATGAGCAGGACAGGAAGCAGAGAAGTGTAGCATTACCTCCAACTAGTTAAACTCATAATTATGAAGTTATTCAACAAATTCCTCAAGTAAAAAAGTGCAACTTTTTTATTTATTTATTTATTTTTTTTACCAGATTTGTGGATTAATTTCAAAATTATGTATTCCTTCCAAATTTCCAAATCTGAAGAATTTTTTAAACCAATATCTACATTATTTAACATTTAGTTTATGTTTTAGCAGTACTTCCTGTTATATTTCTTTATACGTATATTTTACATTTTCTTGCACAGCAAGCTCATCAGATTTGAAATTGTGTGCTTGTGTAAACACAAGTAGTCAATCTTTACTCTAAACATATATTCTGGTTATTTTTTGGGTAGACCTTCTTGTTTTTATATATCTGTATAGTCCCCCCTCCCCCCACCAAAAAAAACTGTAAACTGATTAGAAATATTAATCATCTGTCAGATTTCTGAGAAAAAAGTCAGAATTCTGAGATTAAAGTCAGAAATCTGGGAAAAAAAGTCAGGAAAAAAAGTCAGAATTCTGAGATTAAAGTCAGAATTCTGAGAAAAGTCAGAATTCTGACTTTTCCCCCAATGTTAAACTAAAAAAACATTTAAAAATCAGTTAACGTTTTTCAGTGGCCCTAATCCTCTTCCTACAAGACTAAGATGCCTAAACCAAAAAGATTCAGTTTCTATATATGAAAGTGAACTGACAACAAGACGTTATAAATAAGCAATATTCATAGCAGCATTCCCGACAGACCATTTTACCTCATTAACAAGTTTCTGACTTTCTGTATCGCTGTTTCCCTCTGAGTGCTCAAACACTCAACAGTTCACAGAGGGGAGGGGGAGTACAGTGACGTAACGCTATGCTGCGCCTTCAAAATAAAAGCACGATAGTTAAAAAATTGTCAAAATCTAATATTTTGCGGTACAATTTTTGGGGGGGACATATCCACCTGGCTTTTATATTGGGGGGGACATGTCCCCCCCGTCCCCCCCGCTTCCTACGCCGCTGTATATATATATATATATATATTTATATATATATGTGTATATTGTGCAACAGAAAAAAATTATCTTCCTAGAACATATAATTAGTGTTTGCTTAATAATATTCATGCACTACTGATTGAAATCTGCATGACAGTTAGATGAAGTTCTAACCTCTGAATCCTATTGGTCTAAACATGTTTCTGCAGGTCTTACCCTCGCCTGTGGACTCCATGCGTGACGCAGTGTTGACTGTGTCTCCAAACAAACAGTACCGTGGCATTTTTAAGCCAACCACGCCTGCACACACAGTCCCTACAGAAAAAAAATACACACCAACATGGTAATGATTTGCGTAATCTTGTTTCTTTGTAGTATGATGCTGTTTAGTACGAGAGAGTTTGCATGCGGCTGTACCACTGTGAATGCCGATGCGAAGCCGAAGCTTCTGATCAGGCCGGTGTTGAATTGTGAAGCTCTTGACTGCATCCAGTAGAGCCAGAGACATCCGGGCGACCTCCCGCCCGTGCTGCTTACCGTTCCTGACTGGCAGACCTGACACCACCATGTAGGCATCTCCGATTGTCTCCACCTGAGCAGACCAGATTAGACTGATCTTTTAACTCATCCAACCAGACTGAATAGTCCAAAAGTAGAAGTTTTTTTTCCCACCTTGTAAACATCAAAGTTGTCGATGATGGCATCAAAGCATGTATAGAGATCATTTAATAGCGTCACAACCTGCAGGCAGACAACATTCTAATCAATACACACGTTTTCACTTTTTCAATACATTTGCTGGAATAGTTTTTTTTTTATTGTTTTAAAAACACAGAAAAGATAGTGTTTAACTTTTGTGAATAAGGATAAAAAAACAATACCAATGTGATCAAACTCCAGAGAAAATGGGGAAGTTGTTGGCACTCAAATGTATTCAACAATTTCTCCTGTCACATCCATAAATAGACTTTTTTGTTCTTCCATGTATTTTCAACAGGAACTGTCTCTGCATTATGTGATGATTTAACACAAAGCAAATTAAAAAATGCTATGTGATTTTTAGCACTGTCAGCTTAGGTGGATGGCCATGTCTGTGAAAGGTGAAAGGGTCCCTGATACTTGACAGCGACTTCTCCATTTATAGACAGTTGGTTAAACAGAGTTTTAGGGACGTTCCAACTTGGGATGCTGTTTGAACATTTAAATTTTCTTTGATCTTCTCTATAAATGTCTACCTGACCTGTTTGCTGATCTTATTTTTGGTCTTTGTGTTGCTTTTTGTTTATTAACGTTCTCCAAAAAACCTTGAAAGTCTTTTACAGGAGAGCTTTATTTATACTTAGATTAAAACACAGGTAAAATGTGTTAACTGATTAGATGACTTTCAAAGGGAATTGTTTGCATTAGATTTATTAAGATAAAAAAATTTGTAGTAATTTCAAAAGGAAATCAGATGCAGTATTTAAATTATTTTCTACCCAATCTTGGTATGTCACACAGAAAAACCCCCAAAACCCAATGAGTTTTATGATATGATAGAAATAAGCTGATGTTCATTTGGTCTGATTACATTTCTTAGATTCAGTAAATCTGAGGTGTAGTTGTGACTTTCCACCACTAGATGGCAGCCTGATTCTAAACTCTGGATTTTCTCATTTCAAGTGTTCCAGTTAAGCCCTGATCCTGATGGCTTCTACCAACCTGCATTGGTGTGCTCTCAGCAGACAGAGCAGTGAAGCCAACGATGTCACTGAAGTAGATGGTGACCGAGTCAAACGCTTCGGCCTGAACAGTCTCGCCTCGTTTTAGCTGGTCGGCCACGGAGCTGAAAGCCAAACACAGATGCATTCCAACGGTATTACAGGACCTGATAATTCGAGCTGCAGTCTGCATACTGTTCTGGAAACACAATCGTTTTGACTGAGATAACGGTAAAGTGCAGTTACTGTGGTAGTATCTGGTAGAGCAAAGCCTCGGCCTTGCGTTTCTCCTCGATGTATGCCTGAGTTCGTTCCTCCACCAGCTCCTCCAGGTTGTTGGCGTACTGCTCCATACGAGAAAGCAGGTTGTCCAGGATGTTGGAACCATAACCTCTGAAAACACAAATTTACAAGAACAAACAGATTTCATTGCTTCACTGAAGACTGAATTCTCTCTCATTTCTGACTTTCACATTGTATAACTTAATAATAAAAGTAATTTTACTTTAATGTGAAAAGAAATCTCTTGTTTAAACCTTTAGATTATCTTCACTGTGTCACAATGAAACCAAATTGCATTTGACTGAATTATTTGTAATAACCAGTAAATCAGTTAAAATTAATCAATACATTTTAACAGTATGTTTTTCTTCCACATGATTTTCCATTAATAAACATGCACACAACACCATGTGAACAACTAGCTGCTTTCGATTATCAATATTTCTAAGGGCCATAAAGTAGACACAACTTAACATTTCATTATATATGGTATTAAAACTAAAATCTTTTTGGAATTATTTATTATCTTAATTAACAAAGAAAGGGGAAAAATCAAGGGGAAATTAAGAGGTAAAGATGGTTGAAATGTGTCATATAAAATTTTGTGAATATAGATTTAGCAGATAATGTAAAGAAATCCTTTTTTTAAAGTAATGTAATTTTTTGCACAGAAGAGGATTTGGGCAACACTTAAAATTTTTTTTTCCGAAAATGATGAATTAAGTAAACAGAAAAATGCCAAAATTTAGAGAAACCATATGAATTTTGAAAGTTTTATTTTTTCCACAGTTGCCAAAACACTCTTCTATATTATCTTTTTATTATCAGGCTTTAAAAAAAAAAAAAAAAGTCCTAAACAGTTTGTAAATAATTTTTTCCCCTTTTAAATGTTGCTAAATCTGTAAGGAAAACACATTAGTGAATGGAGCACCGGTATATGGAGTCGTGATCGTCTCTGCTGAAGACAAACCGCTTCCTCTGACTCTTGCTCTGTGTCATTAATTGAGTTGCCTGATTAAAACATAAAGAAAAACAGCATGTCCAATCTGATCCCATTAGTGTTCATTTTAATAAAGCCAGGACCATTCCACCCTCTGTGATCTCATATCTGGATGTAGTCTCTGATAAAGTCAGCATTAAAGCTGCAGTCTGTAACATTGAGGAGAGAGCAGACTTCAACTGAAAATTTGAAGAAAAACAGGTTTCACGCCACTCCCCCACCCTCTCTGCTTCACTCAAGCTCCACCCCTCTCACAGCATCTGCGCGGCTACCGCATGCCACCAGAAGGGAAGCAGTTTTTTTCACAGGTTACATATCACATGTACTGCTGTCTGGGCATAGGGACAGTTTTAGCCAATATGACAAAAAAGTGATTTTTAAAAACTTACAGACTTCAGCTTTAAAAAAAAACTGTGATTCCCAACAGGGGGTACTTGTACTCCTAGTGGTCCGCGAGTGCATTGCAAGAGGTACATGAAAATATTTTATTTCTCAGATAATAAAATAAAAATAAAGTAGGGATAGGATCTGTTCTACTTTGTGAGGATCCATCTAAAACATATTTACGAGATTCCTTAATAAATTCCAGGCAACATATTTATGCTGTTGCTTTTTAAATCTGAGTTGGAAAGAATAACATTCCAAAGAATGAAATGCTCAAGGTAAAAAGATGTCATCAATACATTTGAATAAGAGTAAGATAATATGCCTAAAGGGGTACACAAGTGAAAAATCTGGAAACACTGTCCTAAAATATATAGTTTGGACTCTCAGAGCTGCAAAATCTAATCTTTATATATTTGGATGCATTAAAATTGCATGCAGTGAAAACATCCCAATTTTGTCCAGGGAGGGAAATACCATCCCACACCATCACACTCCCTCCATCAAAAGCAGCTTTTCTCAGGCAAAAACAACACAACTCTGCTCGACCTATAAATGCATTTTCTTCACAACAGTAGTACTATTTTAGTGCAAATAAACAGGCTTTTGCACAGTATTACCAAATGTATTGTTACAACTGAAAATCCTCTTTTTTCTGTTCCATTAACAAGTGAGTTACTCAAATAAATTAACTCAAGCTAATTTATTCAAACCCCCCTTTATTCTTATACCACTGTGTTTCCTTGCTCACCTGTGCTGCTTTCTCAGGAGGATCTTAATGGTGTTAAAGTCGGGCCTCTCGCTCGGTTCTTCGCTCCAGCAGCGCTGCATGAGGACCCCGAGCTCCTCGCTGTGACTATGGAAGCAGAGGGAGGGCCGCAGAGGGGGGGCGCCACCCTGAATCACTGCCTGGATGATCTCTGTAAATGTTGGATGCAGGTCCATCAAAAAGGTTTGTCATACTCTTTCAATATTACTTTCATAAACTCATTTTTCAAAGAGACATAAATAGGTTAACATCAACATTCCGTTGGAGATATATAAGGTGAGTTCTAACTGTACATGTTTAACTAGTGTACTTATGTTTGACAAAGGCTTTATCCAGAACATACTAACTTAAAAAAGTGAGCCTCTCCACCCATGAACCAAAATGACCTACAGCTGACAGGTGGTTACTGATAAATATTAAAGGGCTTTGCTGTTCTGGAAACCCACCTCCATATGGATCAGTTTGATTAACTGCACACAATAAGCCTTAAAGGTTATTTACATTTGGTTTATCCTCTACTTCTTTGCTTCGTTATGGTTCGTTTTGGTTGACAGTATTTTTGTTTTTGTACGAGTGAATCCAGTTGCTTCTGATAATCTAAACTCTTAATAATACTTTCAAAATCAGGAGGCATTTTGTGAAAAGAACAACTTCAAAGCAGGTTTCTTTGCACTTTAAATTCATATTTTAATTATTTAGTTTTTATTGGTCTGATTTAATATCTTGATTTCAAATATTTTGCTTTTATTTCCTGTAAGTGGAAAAGTAAGAGTGGTTTACGTAGAGAATCGAGTTACTGGAGAGCAAAATGACCTTTGTGTTAATATTTTAGTGAGTAACTGTTTATAAATGAGTCTGTTAATATCTCAATATCCTTTTAAATAAAATTGGCCTCCAATTTAAAGCCATACCATTTTTATTTTGCAGTAAAAACCACCAAAAGAATGTAATAAGTACCTCGTTGGTTCAGATTAAAGGTCTAAGGGATTTTGAGAATCTCTTAGTTTTTCCTTTTTTTTAACTGTTACTAAAGCTACATATTTTTTTTACAGAAGTGCAGATAACACCTGACACAGGCAGGGTACGATCTGACGAATTATTGACATGTCGATGGCTGCGGCCCATCAAGCTGCCACACAGGAATGTAAACAACACAACGCTTTCATCGTATTTTATGTTTCAGCTCATAGATTAGAGACGTCGGACTGCGCTCGGGTCCGCCTGCTGTTCAACACTGACCTTTAGGAGAGAAGGAGTGTGAGTCGAGGTAGAAGACTCCCTTTAGCAGAGCAACCTCCTGAAGGATCACGCCAAAGCTGTAGACATCCCCCTTCTGGGTCCCGCAGGCAGGCGGACACTCCTCCCTCAGGAGCTCAGGAGCGGTCCACAGTTTTCCTGTCACGATCAAAACAGTTTACTCATGACAAAGCCTTGAACTGTTTTAAAATAGGAGTTATTTTCATTTCCCTTCACGACACAAATTGCCCATGTTTTTCTTTAAAGCTTACAAACTGTTTTTGAGATATTTCCTAATAAATAAAATAATTTTCTCCATTTACTTAGACACACCTCAATAAAATTCAGTGGAAGATATTTCTCAGAGAAATCACCAAATTGGTGTAATTGAAGATGTTCTGTGAAGGTGTCAGATAAAACATTAGTAGGCTAACATAGATCAGGGATTCAGCAGACTAGAAAAAAGTGAGAGGTTATCAGGCTTTGAACATCCTGCAGAGAACTGGTCATTAAAGGTAAAATGGAGGATGTTCTTTATCCAGGCGGATCATCTAAATAATTGTTCCTCCTAATTGTCAATCATTCTGGTGATATGTTTTCGTAAGGCCGTCCTATGTGATCGTCCCCATTTTCACTGTGGTGAGTCTGACATATTAGAAAAATTGCAAATCTTTTGGAAAGAAAGATCGAATGAGCAATGCAAACAGCAACTTTTAAACAGAGTGTGCACGCGGAGAAATGGGCTTGTGTATGCTCTTGCATGCATTTAATAGGCATTCCCTCTCTGGAGCGGGTGTAGGGTTGTGCATGTGCATTTTCTTTCAAAAGTAGAGAGGTCGGGTCTTTTAAAAAATTCATGAAAATCCTCCACTATACCATTAAGCGTACAACAGTAACATGGCTATCCACCTAGGACCTTTCAAGAGAGCAGTAACAGCTCAAATTTAAAGAAGCAGCTTAATCTTCCAATGGTGACTTTAGATGAGCTGCAGAGATCCGCAGACTCCCACTAGAGCTGTGCAATTATTACATCAGTAATATATGCAATAATTAAAGCGTTTTCGAAAGGGAGGCAAATAGAAATCTATTGTTGAAGGAAAGCAATTAGAGATCATGTTTAAAATTACACACAAGTAGGCGAAAAAACAGCAAGCGTGTGTAAAAGGGGGACTCTGTAAAGAAACGTGTGAGGAGGAAAAGTAACCAGAGGATAACATCCTCTGGCTGAAACATAGAAGAAGCAGCATCATGCTATGGGAATGCAGCAGAAACAGGGAAACTATTCATAGTTGATGGGGAGATATATGGAGCTAACTAAAATACAATCTAGGAACAAAACTTGTAACGAGCTGCAGAATACTTTATACGGAGGTGAAGTTCAGCCTACTAGCAGGACAACAACCCTAAACATGCAGCCAGATTTACCATGGAGGGTTTAAAACAATAATGATCCATGCACTAAAATGGTAGTGTAATTTATGTTTACATGGAGCTCTCTAATCTGATTGAGTCTGAGGTAATCTACAATAAAAGTTATTATTTAGCTGTTTATACTTGCTAGGAACTTGTTTCCACAAACATGCTATTGTGACTGCAGCAAATAGGTGATTCTACAGTTTTTAGTAAACAATTGCACAATAATTTTTGTTTAGCTGTAAAATAAATCCAAGTCAAAATGCTTAATTCATCCCCAAACGCAAACACATGTGTGCGAAACACATTAAGTGTGCAGGTTTTTCCTACGTGCGTAGTAGGCGTACGAGTCCTCGGGATAGTTGCAGGTCCGCAGACTCTGCAGTCCGTAGTCTGTAATCTTCAGCACAAACCGACTGTCCACCACACAGTTGGAGGACTTCAGGTTGCCGTGGGATACAATGACGCTGTTGTGGAGAAACACCATTCCCTGAAAAAGAAAAAAACCTAAGATGTAGCAGAGTTTCTGATTAATAAAATAGGGTTATTGATCAGGGAAATATGGCCAAAATGGGAAATAAAAGGTGCATGTGAAACCTGTAAAAAGGCTGATCTGTCACTTGCTACATCTAAATAGTATTGTAATGTGAGAGTTTAATATTTTTTTATTATTGAAGTTAAATTGTAGAACTGCAAAAAACAGAAAAGCTAAAACAACAAATAACCCTTTTGAGGTTTTATTTCATATTAGTTTTCTTATTGAGAAAAATCTATATTTTTGTCGCTGATTTAAGGAAATTAAAAACATACATGGACTCATTATGAAAAGTAAAATACATTTGATCACAGCTGCACTTTATGGAATGGAAATCTTCATTTACTGTCTGGAAAGCCGTACTAAACGAAATTTAGTTTTGTATACACTCTGTGTATACAAAATGACAATAAAAGTTGTCTAAGTCAAAGATTTCAAGCTGTTATTTTCTGTAATTTTGATTATTAATGCTATAGAATGTTGTGAAAAAGTTAAAGCCTATTCAAACAAAGTTGAGTCGAAGAAAGTGTGGAAAGAAATGGAAAAACTGTTAACATACTGTCATCTACCTTGGAAAATGAGTGCACTCCATGCTGCCTTCTGCTAATAAGCTTTATGGAGGTGCTAATTTAATTTTCCAGCATCACTTGACGTCTGCTTAGAATAACAAAGGTTAGTGACCATCGTGTTAACCTGACCCTTCCTGAACACTGTAAAAAAAATAAAAATAAAGTATATATATATATATATATATATATATATATATATATATATATATATATATATATATATATATATATATATATATATATATATATATCTAAAGGGTATTGCATAATAAATCTTTAAAATGTTCAAGTTTCACTATTTATGCTACTGGAACACCTTTTCCGTGCCAGTATTTCCTTGCAGTGACTTTTCTATGAAAAGGCTTGAATAGCGCACTCTGTGAGGAGCTTTACCCTCCATGTGTCACTGACTGTCTTAATAGCTGTTTTGCCCCCTGACAGGTACCGAGGGCCCATTCAAAGGCTCAACAAACCTTTTATTGCTTTTTTTGTACTTAATTAGCTGTTTTATGTTTGACACCACGAGTTTTGAGAATTTTGGGTTTTCATTATTTTTAAGCTATAATGATCAAATTGACAAGTAATAAAAAAAATATTTTAATGCATGGGAAAGAAAAAAATCAGCTGTACATGTGCATCACAGATAAGCAATATAAACGCTGACTTGTCTAATCTTTACTCCTCAAACAGCTGTTGTGTACTCTCGGTGGGAGAACAGAAAATGCTCTGTTTTATTGATAAGCTCTGTCCCAACTCCCCCTCGCCTAACAGCACTCTCGTTAATTTGGAGCCAGGTGGTTACCTTGACGATATCAGTGATGAGCGAGTATCTGAACATCCAGTCCAGAGTAATGCCATCGCTCTCCATCAGATCCTGAAAAAAACAACCCAACACACATAGCTTTAAACCAACTCTATATTTACTGTTTTATCATCTTCTGTACATGTGGGCTCATGAAACGGCTCTGCTGGCCATCCAGCGATGCCCTGAAGGCACTGTTGGGAAGTTAAACTAGCACGCCCACGCGGAGGTTGTGCCATTAGTGTCATATGTGGCATACGGAATGATATTTCTGTTTCAGCCAAATAGCAGAGAGCAGGTAATCATCTGAGCAGGAAGACAAGGAAGCTCTCTTCTTAACTAAACTTGATTAAAAAACAAACAAACAGCTCTACCATAAAACCGACTACATGCTGTATCTTCAAACTGCAGACATGTCTTTACTTTGATGGGTTTTGCTCAGTGTGATGCTTTTAGTGAGGAAGTCTGCACGAAGTGGACACTGCCTTCTCATCGCAGATGTTCCTCAGCTGTGCTAAAATAGCATCTCCGTCCTCTCAAGGCAGAAAATAACTCACTCCTCTCTTAAATTCAGCGGACATCTGGCAACAACCCAAACCCCACGCACCCCACAGCAGCTGTTGCTAGGTTACCCTGCTGTCAGGTTGCTAGGTTACAGTGCTGGGAGATAACTGTAACAGTGCAGAGGTCTTCTTAAAAGCCAACTGGAACAAGAGTTTGAGGGGTTGGTTTGTAGTTATGATGTAGGAGAGCATTGATGCAGGGATGATAATAAGTGATAAAGAGGGGGAAATGTTTCTGCAAAATGTTGCCTTTAAGGTGTCACAAAAAGAAGCACAAAAGTTAGGATTTTTCTATGTTTTTTGAGCAAAGCTCAGGTCCTGTAATCGGACCATGACTGCTTCTCGTGCAGACTAACTAATCTAAACAGATCTGAGAATCTGGGTTTAGACAAACAAGAAACTAGTCTAACACCTAATACCTTGCAGGAGTCACAGGGCTAAAATTTCTTGATGAAAAGTTTTAAGCAAATGTCTTTTTGGGGATCACTTTTTTGGTGCAACAGTACTATTAAATAATTGTTAAAGTAATATACTAACACTCTTGTATTTTCGATATTAAATAAATCAATAAAATGTTTAATAATACCGTATTTTCACGACTATAAGGCGCACTTAAACGTCTTTTTTTCCCCCCAAAATGTGCGGTGCGCCCTATGGTGCGGTGCGCCTTATGTGTGTTGTAACTGCGACTTTTGAGACCACCTCATTGAGGAGATGATGAAAGAGTGGCTGAATGTAAGGAGACCAGGTGTTTTTTTTCCACCCCTCACCATCGCTGTTAATATGTAACTCCATGCGTGCCCATCTCACAGCTGATGTGAAAAACATGGGGAAACAAATTAACTGCTCGACATCGGTGTGAACCGGACCCAGCAGGTGCAGCAGAAGCAGCGTGTTTACATGCAAAGTCAATGGTTGACGCGCATATAGGTGCAGCAAAAGGTCCCGCAGCGCATTTTGGTGCAGCACGTCGGGAGCGTTTAAGCATCTGAAGCGCCGCGCTTCTGCTGCTCGAGATGGAAAAATTGAAGTTTTGCTGCTGGACGCGCCGCATCAACCAATCAGAGAAGCTGATCTGGGAGCTGCCAGCGAGACAGACAGCGCTCTGATGACATATGATATTAACGCAAATGGAAAAGGCTGGATGGATGCATGGCTGAGGCAGGTGTATGTGAGAAGACTAGGTGGTTTTTTTCCACGCATCACCATCGCTGCGTGCCCATCTCACAGCCGATGTGAAAAAAAGGTGAATCAAATGAACGCTGTGCTCGCCGTTATCCCGGGGGTCTGACAAAGGAGCTTCAACCGCTCGACATCGGTGTGAAGCAGCCGTTCGAAGTAAGGCTGCGAGCGGCGTGGGAGCGATGGATGACCGACGGAGACCACAGTTTCAGGATAAGAAGGCAGCGCCGGGCAGATTACGCCACCGTTAGCGGATGGATTGTAGATGCTTGGACTAAAGTGTCTGCTGGCTCTGTTGTTCAAGCTTTCGCAAAAGCCGGCATTATTTCTGAGGAGCTGCGCTGCACGGAAAGTGACTGACAGCGAAGAAGGGGAAACTGGCATGTCTGATTTAGCGCAGCTGTTTTATTCAGAAACAGAGGATGATGACTTTGATGGGTTTGATTAATACTTTGTAATAAATACATGAATAAAGCACAATCATACTCAGTTTTGCTCCCGCTGTATTTTTCTCCCTGAAAACTTAATTCAACAGCATCCCCGGCGCGTCTCCTCCTCTTCATCGCGGTGGCTGGCAGGTGTTTTTAAATAATCTAAATCTTGCAGCTATATTTGCTGTGATCAGTGGGAATAAAGTAGTTTTAATATGTTTTTAAGTGAGAAAGTCCACCTGAAAACTTAATAATTGCAGTCAGTTCATCCAGATTATCTATTTCTGTCGGAGGCGCTCAGACCCCCACATACCAGCGGTGCGCCGACAGGAGAAATCCTTTCGTTCACCGCGGCTGCTTGCAGGTGTTTTTCATCTAAATAATCTAAATCTTGCAGCTATATTTGCTGTGATCAGTGGGAATAAAGTAGTTTTAATATGTTTTTAAGTGAGAAAGTCCACCTGAAAACTTAATAATTGCAGTCAGTTCATCCAGATTATCTATTTCTGTCGGAGGCGCTCAGACCCCCACATACCAGCGGTGCGCTGACAGCAGAAATCTCTTCATCAGCAGCCTGTAGGCTGGGCAGCCTGGGGTTCACCGCGGCTGCTGGCAGGTGTTTTTCATCTAAATAATTTTAGCTGCAGGCACCAGGATACCGGCAATAAAAGCGAACATATTCCGTCAGCAGGTTTCAGGATTTTAAGTTAATTTAGGAGTGACCACAGCGCTGTGTCATCTGCGATGTCTCTGTCTCACGGCCAGCTGCCAGGTTTGATTAATACTTTGTAATAAATACATGAATAAAGCACAGTCATACTCAGTTTTGCCCCCGCTGTATTTTTAAATACGCAGTAGAGGTATTTAAAGGTAGTAGAGGACTTGTACCTGTATATAAAAAACGTGCCCTATAGTCCGGTGCGCCTTATGTGTGTGTTAAATACAGAAATGGGACACATAACTGAGAGTGCGCCTTTTAGTACGGTGCGCCTTATGGTCGTGAAAATACGGTATTTATTGAATATCTTTTTGGAGGGAAGTGGTGTAAAATGCTATAGATACTCATGGTTACTGACAGAGATAATGGCACAATGAAAATAAATGTATTAATTGCTGGATGTAATGTTTTCATCAGTTCATCGGTGCAAAGGTGAGTGAGCCTGACCTGAAGGCTGCCCCTGGGGCAATACTCTGTGATGATGCACATGTGTGGAGGATCAAGGCAGGCACCAATAAAACGAGTCAGATGTTCGTTATGAACGTCTCGCATCTGCAGAAAACAAGAGACTCAAATCACATCAAGGCTGCCAACAGTCTAGAATAAGTACACTAAAATCTAATAATAGAAGCTCGGTTCTCAACGACTGGATCCTTACATGCTTCAGCTCAAACAGAACCTCTCTCGTCAGGTCAATGCGCTTCTTGTTTATGTACTTGATCGCTGCCAGATTACCCTTAAGGAAACAAAAATCCTCATGTTCAACTTATTCATGGCACTGGAACTTTACTGTGATGCCCTGCATTACAGGATATGATTGTTTTAACGTGTTGACAGACCTTGAGGTATCCGGTTTTGGTGTAGATCTGAACGTTCCCTTCCATGGTCATCAGAGAACCATAGTTTGATCCTTTCTGAAAGCATACAACCAGTCAAAAGTGAAACAATCTGCATAAGTAGGACATTTCGCCCCTAATTAGAGCCAGATTCTGCAGAAATAGTAAATCTACTACAAAACCAGTTGTGTAGATTTTTAAAAGAAAAACTATATGGTAAGATAACAGAATATGGTTAAGGTTAAGGGATTTGAAAAGTTTCTGGTGGCACAGGATGAAGGGAGACAAAAAGAAAGAAAAAAGTCACAGAATGTGGCGTTTAAAGACTCTAAAATGAGATACGTTAACAGTAGTTGACACTAAAACGATATGTATTTACCAGGGAAAAGGTGAGTCTGCTGCAAGTTCTCCTCAAGGACTTTTCCAGGTTACTCATCTGGATGTCTTCCCAGGAAACCCTCCACAGCTGGGCCACCAATTCGTTCTCCAGCTTCAACTTCCTATTTAACAGACAGGAGGACAGGTGTGTGTGCGTGTATTTGCAGAGCTGGTGATGCATTAGTGTGTGTTAAAAAAACAAGGGGAAACACCGAGAGAGGCGAGAGGAAGGTGAACCACAGAGAAGGACAGAAATGGAGGCTGTTTTTAAGGTGAAGAGCATTTTTGACAAAACTGAGCCGAGCAGCGACTCAGATAAACATTTGGAATAAGAATCACAGATGGAATTAAGAAACAGCTTTGGTTGGTCCTCATACAATGTGCTGTGAGTTTGGCGAATGATTATTTTTTCAGCACACATAAAAGAAAACCTCAACCTTTAATTACCTCAAAGTAAATAATCATCACATGCATATTTAATGGTTGATCTGTAAACAAATTTTAAGTATTTTTTTTTTACCCAAGAACTCTGCAACAACCCAAATATCTGGCTTGACATCTTTATTATTTTCAATAAACAAGAACAGAAATATAGCAAAATGCAAGGTTTATCTTTTTTATGTATTAGAGGAACTGTATGAGCAAACATTGCACACAAAATACTCCTACTCAAAACTTTGTAATTTTGTGCATAAAGTACCAGTAATATAAGGTTTGGTGCAACTGTACAAAATAATTTACAGGTCTGTGGAAAATTTTGTATTTAGAATTAAACTCTATGAAGTTTGCCTGTATCCCATTACAGATCAAAAGTGGGGAAATTCAAAATTTGGGTCACTTTTAATTTTATTTATATATTGCCTTTTGCACAAATCAGAAAGTACGT